GATTGCATGTTCTTAGGCTATGCAGAACATAGTGCTGCCTATAGGTTTCTTGTCCTCAAAAGTGATGTAATTGAGCATAATACTATAGTAAAGACAAAAAATGTTGAGTTTTTTGAACATATTTTCCTCTAAAGGTTAGTGAGACACCTAAACAATCTTTAGAGATTAATAGTGACAAAATCTATGAGGATTTGAGGAGAAGTAAAAGACAGAGGAAGGAAACCTCCTTTGGAGATGATTTCTACACTTATCTAGTTGAAAATGATCCAATGAGTATTTTAGAGGCTACTAGGGCTCCTGATGCAATACATTGGGATAAGGCCATTAAGACTGAAATTGATTCAATTAAGAAAAATAATACTTGGACTTTGGTAGATTTGCCTAAAGGAACAGAACCTATTGGTTGTAAGTGGATCTTTAAGGAAAAAAAAAATATCATTCTGATGGATCCATAGATAAATATAAGGCAAGATTAGTAGCAAAGATTTTTACTCAAAAATTCAACATTGATTATTTTGACACCTTTGCCCCTGTGACTAGGATTTCCTCTATTCGAGTTTTGTTAGCTCTAGCAGCTATCCATAAACTAGTTATACACCAAATGGATGTTAAGACAAACCTTTTGAATGGTGAATTAGAGGAGGAAATTTATATGACTTAACCTGAAGGGTGTGTTGTTCCAGGTCAAGAGAATAAAGTATGTAGACTTTTAAAATCCTTATATGGATTAAAACAAGCACCAAAACAATGGCATGAAAAACTTGATAGTGTTCTACTTTGTAATGGTTTTTCAACTAATGATGCTGATAAATGTGTGTACTCTAAATTTGAGAGTGGTGAATGTGTCCTTATATGTTTATATGTAGATGATATGTTAATATTTGGTACATGCATTGACATTGTCTCCAGAACTAAGTTGTTTCTGGGATCTAAATTTGAAATGAAGGATATGGGTGAAGACAATGTGATTTTGGGTGTTAAAATCATAAGGAAGGGCGATAGTATTTTTCTATCACAAGAACAATATATTGAGAAACTTCTTAGGAAGTTTGGGTGTTATAACGCCAAACCAGTGAATACCCCTTATGATGCTAACTCTAAATTAAAGAAAAATAGAGGAGACTCAATCTCTCAACCTCAGTATGCCCAGGTAATTGGGAGCTTACTGCATTTAATGAGCTTTTCTAGACCTGACATTGCTTATGCAGTAGGTAGACTGAGTAGGTACACTCAATGTCCTAATCAAGAACATTGGAATGCACTTACAAGACTTATGAGATACTTAAGAGGTTCAATGGATTATGCCATTGAATATAGTGGATTTCTCGTTGTACTAGAAGGATACAGTGATGCTAACTGGATTTCTGATTCAGATGAGACAAAATCCACTAGTGGCTATGTATTCACACTCGGGGGTGGTGCGATTACATGGAAATCAGCCAGACAAACAATTATTGCAAGATCAACAATGGAATCTGAATTTGTTGCTCTCGAAATGGCTAGTAGTGAAGCTGAGTGGTTGAAAAACTTCTTAGTAAACATTCCATTAGGAATGAAACCGATCCCGTCTGTATCAATACACTGTGATTGTCAATCGGCAATAGCTATAGCAAAAAATAAGAACTACAATGGAAAAAACAGACATATACAATTGAGACATAATTTAGTGAAGCAGCTGCTAAAGAATGGAACAATCTCCATTGACTATGTGAAGTCAGAACGGAATCTAGCAGATCCTCTGACAAAACCCTTAGCGAGAAATATGATTTTAGAAACATCGAGGGGAATGGGCCTTAAGCAACTTGCAAACAAACAGGTGATGGTAACCCAACCTTTGTGATTGGAGATCCCATGAATAAGGTTCATATGGGTAAAAACAAGTCACTTGTTAGTTCTGCTAGCACTAAAATTGATTAAAATCAATTATGTCCATTCCTATGGTGTATATGTGAAAGTGCTAGATACTGCATTATTGAGAGGTTAAACTTTGTAATTAAAATTCTATGTGGAGTACGAATTTTAGTCTAAACAAAGTTTTTAAACGATTTCATATCCCTTAAGGGTGGTGTATGATTTGCAGCATACGCTTGATGAAGTCACCTATATGAGTGTCAAGTGGGGCCGCTTGTATGAGATCTTTGCAAGATTTCTAGAGCACTCATGAATACCGGGCACGCGCATGGCCTAGTAAGCGCAGCACAGCGATAACAGCAAGAATTGTGGGGGTGTATTGTGATTATTAAAACCGCTAACACACATTAAGTGTTTTGGTTCATATAGCTTGCTACACCAACTACACTGTGTGTTAAGTTTTTTAGTCTAAGACTGGTTCATATAGCTTGTTATACCAGCTCTGATGCATTACATCTTATATGAGACCCAGGATTTTCTTCTTTTATTTCTTTTTTTCCCTTTTGTTTTGCAATATGTGGGGGATTGTTGTAAATTAAGGGGTATTGCAAAACATAGCACACGTTACAGAAGACTGTTTCAGAGCACACGTTGCAGAAGACCGTTTCAGAGAACGTTTTAGAGAACGTTACAGAGAACGTTACAGGAAACGTCACAAACCCACTACCAAGTCTTCCATAACTGTTACAGACTTTCTCTTATAAATAGAGACCACTTCACACTCTTCAGGAGACACCTCTCTCATCTTCTCTTCTCTGATCTTTTCTGTGTTCCTGGGTTAATTTACTCTTTTGAGAGTTTCTTGCTAGTTTCTGAGATCCTCGGATATCCCGAGAAGTTCCTGTTGTATCCTGGGGGACTTGCACAATACACCGCGGATAAGTCCTTAAGGGCAGTGTTTATACACGCCTCAGGAATAAAGTTTGTTCGTGTCTCTGTCAGCTTTTACAACACTCGTTTCAGAGATTATGAAATGTTTGGTGTTGTTACTGAAGAAGGAAACCCAGTGCATTTTGCATTGGCAGCAGAGGCGGAGCCCGTGGAGTTTGAGGATGTTGTGCGTGATGAAAAATGGAGAAAAGCGATGTGTGAGGAGATAAATTCCATTGAACGTAATGGAACGTGGAGATTGGTTAATCTTCCACCGCATAAAAGGCCCATAGCACTGAAGTGGGTATTCAAGGTTAAAGTCAATCCCAAGGGAGAAGTGATAAGGCATAAAGCCAAGTTAGTGGCTAAAGGATATTTGCAAAAGGCTGGGACTGATTTTGGAGAAATATATGCACCCGTTGCTAGGCTTGATTCAATCCGAGTAATTATCGCTATTGCAGCATTAAACAAGTGGAGAATGCATCAGCTAGATGTAAAAACAGCTTTTCTAAATGGGTTGCTTGAAGAGGAGGTATACGTAACTCAACCGCCAGGATTTGAGGTTAAGGATGATAAAATGAAAGTTTACAAGTTAATCAAAGCTCTTTATGGCTTGAAGCAAGCCCCACGGGCTTGGAACAAAAGAATTGATCAGTTTATGCAGCAAATTGGCTTTGAAAGATGCACCACGGAGCAAGGATTATACGTGAAGTATTGGATCAGCAATGGTCAAGAAGAAAAGTTACTCATATGCCTCTACGTGGATGACATGCTTGTCACAGGAAGTAAAGCGAAATATATCAAGCAGTTCAAACATCAGATGACCACTGAGTTTGAAATGAGTGACTTGGGGGAACTCAATTATTTTTTGGGAATTGAGTTTATTCAGACAAATCATGGAATGTTAATGCACCAGGCGAAGTATGCAAAAGACCTGTTGAGCAGGTTCAAGCTTCAAGACTGCAACATAACAGCTACACCGATGGAAATAGGGTTGAAGTTGGGAAAGAATGAAGATGAAGAACCTGTGGATGAATCCGAATTCAGGAAAATGGTTGGGTGCTTGAGGTATTTGTGTTGTACAAGACCTGACCTAAGTTTTGCAGTTGGAATAGTAAGTAGATTCATGCAGAAACCTAAAAAAACCCACATGAATGTTGTAAAACGTATCATGCGTTATGTGCAAGGGACAAAGAACCTTGGCTTGCTGTTTCCAAATAAAGGGTGCGAAGGAAGTGTTGAACTGAAGGGGTACGCAGATGCTGATTGGTGCGGAGATCAAATTGATAGGAAGTCCACTGCTGGATACATATTTTTCCTCTGTGGGTCACCTGTCTCATGGCATTCCGTGAAAGAACCTATTGTAGCTCTTTCCTCTTGTGAAGCAGAATACATTTCTGCTTCTCAAGTTGCGTGCCAAGCTGCATGGTTAGCAATGCTCTTAGAAGAGTTAAAGGTGAAGATGAATAGTTGTCCAAAATTAATGGTGGACAATAAATCTGCTATAGACTTAGCAAAACATCCTGCTGCTCATGGTAGGAGCAAACACATTGAAACTAGGTTCCATTTTTTGAGGGAACAAGTCAATCAAGAGAAGCTTGAAATCGTTTACTGTAAATCTGAGATTCAGTTGGCAGATATCTTTACCAAAGCCTTAAAAGGGGAGAGGTTTAGGTATCTGAGACAATCTATTGGAGTTGTAAAACCAGTTTGACTTAGGGGGTGTGTTAGAAATAAGTCAAAACTGCTTTTCTTTCTGTCTCTGTACTGTGTATAAATACGTTCATTCATTTCACATAATATACGTAATTCCTATCATTCTTCTGCATGTATAGTTTCTATAAATGATACATTTTGATTATGTTTGACACATTATGTATTTAATAATTTATAGCTATATTAATTAACTAAATGAAAAAGAAAAAAAAATTGACGCAAAATAGACACACGTGACACGTAGTTATCATGTATGAAAAAAAATTTTTTATAACATCATGGGTTGGACGGAGCTTCTTCTGGGAATATGTTGACCCAGTCGGTGACGTAAATCTTGTCACCACTATTACTGTGACGTAGGAGATTGCGTAACAGGCGTTGACGTTAGAGTCTTTGCCTTTCACTTATTTATTTTTTTATTATGTTTATGTCGTTATTGTTCAACACTTTTTTTTTTCTCTACACTCCGTACCTCCCACAGCCACCTTTTCCTCTCTTTCACCATGCACCAAGCCCTCCCCGGTTCACCGTCCACCGCCGGAGGAAGTGGCGGAATCATGTTCAAGATGGTTTCGGAGAATCCGGTGATCGTGATCGGGACTCGTGGATGCTGCATGTGCCACGTGGTGCAGAAGTTGCTGCAGGGCCTGGGAGTGAACCCTCCCGTGTACGAGGTTGACGAGGGGGACCAGTCTGACGTGGCACAAGAGCTGTCAAGAAAGATTGTTGGTGGCGGGGATGACGGCGGAGTGCAGTTTCCGGCGGTGTTCGTGGGTGGGAAGTATTTGGGAGGGTTGGAGAAAGTGATGGCTAAACACATCTCCGGTGAACTGGTTCCGATTCTGAAAGATGCCGGGGCCTTGTGGCTTTGACCATAGCCCCTAACTTTTACTTCTTCTTTTTTTCTTCTCTTTTTTATTATAGATAATCAAGTTCTCTCTATCATGAATATTATTGTTAACATTTTTAATTTTTGGAGGGAGAAATTAATTTAGTCAAGGACTATATATATCTCCCTCGATCAGCTTTTGTTCTAGATCATGTTCCTGTCCTGTTGGGAAACAAAATGTTCCATTCCAGGTAATTATGATATCATAGTCTTAGATCACTTAATAGAATCTTAAAATATAATCACAATCTCATCTTTTAAATATATATATTTATATTTACAATATAACTTCTTCTTAGAGTCGTTGAGAGTTTTTGCAAACGTATTTGGAGTTATCAGTATCTCTTTAATGCATGATAACATTTAGGTTATTTTTTGGCAAGGCAGAGCGTAGTAAGCTCATCTGTTTGCATGAAAAATATAGAGTGAAAAATATCAATACAAGTATACTTTCTTTTTTTCTTATAATTTTTTTATTTTACTATAGAACCAAACGTTAATATATATTAGGGATGACAAAGCGAGTCAAGTCCGCGGGACGGGTTAGTACTTGCGATCCGTTAGCCCATTTTGGTATATCCTGCCAAACCCATCAACCCACTGGACCAACCTGCAGAGCAAGGCAGACCAACCCGCAACCTGCTTTACTAATTTTTTTTTAATGTGATACAATACAAAAAGTCATAAAGACAATATATAATATAAAATTTTATGAAAAGAGAATTTTAAAAGTCGTAGTGTCTCATGAAGAGAATTCATAAAGTCTTAGTATCTCACTACTAAGAGAATTCAAAATCATAAACACTTTCATTTTTTCAAGCACAAACTTCTTTCTCCTCTCCTTTTACTCACATCTCCTTCTTGTTCATCCTTCTTCATAAGGTAAAAATCATATATATCTCATATTTTTTTACTCTTTTATTGAAAGATTTGATTTAAAAATAATAAAATAAATAAGAAATATCACTACAAGAAAAAACATTTTTAGCGACCGAATTTTTTCGGTCGCAATTAGCTGATCGATTTAGTGACTAACTTAATTTTGGTCGCAATTAGCGATCGATTTAGTGACCGATTTAATTCGATCACAATTAGCAACCGATTTAATTCGAATCCAATTAGCGACCGATTTAATATGGTCGCAATTTAGCAATCGATTTAGCCACCGAAATATGATTTAGTTTTACTTTTTTATTTAGCGACCAATAGTTTGCATCGCAAAATTTCGGTCGCTAAATCGATGACTATTCTATACTAAAATAAAAAAATCATTTAACGATTGATTTATCAACCGAATTATAAATTGAAATAGTGATCTGAATTGAAATCGGTCGCTAATGAGAAAATAGCGACCGAATTGAAATCGGTCACTAAGGAACATTATTTTTTTATTATTTAATTTTTTTTAAAATATACTTTAATTGTTTTAGTATATTTTTTACAATTTATTTTTTAAAAGTAATTTATTTTTCAAAAATAATTTAATTTTTAAAATATACTTTAAAAATAAACTTTGGTCTCAATATTAACAAAATGAAGATTAACTTTAATTTTTAATTACTAAAATAAAAATATTATTAAAAATAAATCAAATTTATTAAAAATTTAAATTGTAATAAATTAAGACTGGAGCGATATTAACTATTCAATACATTGTTTAAGAAAAGTTTAATAACAAATATTCTTTAATTTATTTTTCAATTAAAAATTTCAATTTAAAGTAAATTATATTAAAAAAATTAAACACACCAAATTATCACATTTTAATTCTTCATTAACTTAATTAATTAAAAAATTACAATTTCAATCAAATTATTACAATTTTAATTTATAATACTTTATTTTTAATCTAATTTTTAAATTTATTGCTTTATTATTATTAATTACTTAACCATGGTTGTTTTCATATAATTGATATACTAGAAAAAAATTTATATCAACATACATTAGATAATAAATATATTATTTAATTAAATTATTTATAAAAATATATTTATCTTTAGTTAAAATATTTTTTAGTTTAAGTATATTAATTAATATTTTTCATTTTTAGCATAATTAATAACAAAGATTAAAAATAGACTGCTAGAAAAGTTAAAAATTTAAAATTAATCTACTTTATAAATACTAAAAATAAACCATATTTAAATAAATTAAAAATATATTTAAATTTATATTCAACATACCTCCAATTTTGCTCAATCAATTCATAGATTGTTAGACAAATGACATCTAGACGGGGTGAATAGATGCACAAATTAAAATAGATGTCAAATTAAAAATTTATTTGTGAGTCAATAATTTGTTAAAGCAGAAGCAATAATATAATCAAGAAAAGAGAAAGAGATAAGGGAAAGAGAAGAGCACACAAAGATTTATACTAGTTCGGGTATAGCCAACCCTACATCCAGTTCCCAGTCAACTCTTAACACAAGAGTGACTCCCCATTCACTATCTTTCAAATTCAGTTTACAAATTACAATCAACTCAATAGAAGAACCAGTAAAAAGTAAACTAATTAAAAAGACAATCACCTCCTTAGAAACCCACTAAGGATGAACACCTCCCTAGAATCTCACTAGTGATGAACACCTCCTCTGAACAAATCAAAGGATGAAAACACCTCCTTAGAATCCCCACTAAGGATGAACACCTCCCTAGAATCAAACTAGGGATGAAGGTAATAAAAATAAGAACAGACACACCTGGGTAATGGAGACAACAAATTGTAGAAGCCTGTAGAATGCCAATCTCCAAGAACAAGTGTGATTAATAATGAAAGCATAGAAGGCAATAGAGAAGAGGGTTTTCTCAAAAGGTGTAAAATATCTCTGTTGCCTTTCTCAGAATTCTTTTCTCAAAATTAATTGAATGTAAATTGTATTTTCGAATTCTGTAATTGTGTGTTTTTTATTTTTCATCAAAACTTAATTAAATAGAAAAATAGCATCAGAAAATGGTCGTTGGACATTAATAATATCATAGAGAAAATCAGGATGTATTCAAAAACCTTTATTCTTTAAAACGGATATATTTTTCAAATTTGAATTGTCATAATTGATTATATTACCAGTATAATTAATTATGATAGAGAAAATCATTTTTCCATTTCTGGTTCATCATAATTAATTATGACAATGAAAAATATCATGTTATGAATTTTATCACACTTGTGCTTTGGAGGCTTATGCATAATATTATTTCATCAACTTGTACCTCCATATCCAGTATTCTAAGACTCTATCTAGTCTTCAGGAATCATCTTGGGCTTGCTTGAATCATCATCTTTATCACCTACGTCATAAATTCAGTTTGTCCTTAAATTCATCTTGAATGGTGTTGACTTGAATGTAGTTTACTTGAATCATCATCAAAATCATCTCTTGGGAATGCAGGAACATTTCCATCAATCTCCCCCTCATTGCTTTCAATCTCCCCCTTTTTGACGATGATCAAGGAAACACCTGAAATGAATTAAAATGCTTGACTCTATATAGCCAGCTCAAGATTAGCACATATTTGTATCAAGTGTCAGAGTCTCTCAATCTCCGCCTGGATATATTAATAACAAGACTCCCCCTAACTCATATGAGCAAATACTTCTCTTAACTTCCCTTGTTTAATTTAGATAGGAAAGAATTTCACACAGATTTTAATTCATAAAAAAATCTCCCCCTGTTTCATTGATAATCATAAAATATATTATAAGAAAAAATCTTCCCCTGTTTCATACAGATTAATATTATCAAAATATCTCCCCGTTTCATTGATAATTAGAAAAAATATTATAAGAAAAAAATCTCCCCTTGTTTCACACAGATTAATATCATCAAAATATATTCCTGTTTCATTGATAATTATGAAAAATATTGCAATAGAAACTGAGAACAAATTTGTACCTATTAATATATAAATCAAGGTAGAGAAGATAATGCATTAAAAAGTGTCATAGAGAAGAATATCATATTAAGGAAACAATATCTAGGATACCCAAGACAAATGAAGAGAGAGAAAGATAGGGGAATAAAATGATTATAAAGATAATGGAATTAAATGCAGTAGTTTCCTCCAATTGCAGTCTTCTTATTTAGACAGCTTTCAAATTCAAATGCACTCATATTCCAGATTTCAAAATTCAAATTCAAATTGCAACAAATTTCAAATTTCAAATTTAAATTCAAATTCAAAAATCTCAAACTGCAAAAATTTCAAATTTCAAAATCTCAAACTACAAAATTTCAAATTTCAAAAATTTCAAATTGCAAAATTTAAAATTTTAAAAATCTCATACTACAAATTTAAAAAAAAATCTCAAACTGCAAAATTTCAAATTTCAAAAATCTCAAATTGCAAAATTTCAAATTTCAAAAATCTCAAACTGCAAAATTTCAAACTTTAATAATTTCAAATTTTCATAAATTCAAACTTTCAACATAATTGATTATGACAACAAGAAAAGAAATTTCGATTCTGATAATCAATTAGATGCTTAAATTATCATCTAGACATGTATAAATGTTTTGTTCCTTTAGGCACTCATTCATATTTGCCATTAGATATGCCAAAATGTTTTATGTAACATTTATTTGATGTATGACCTATTTTCATGCAATAAAAACATGTTGGTTTTCTTTGAAAATGTCTAAATGCGTTTCTTAAAGTTCTTGAACCTAGTGTCACATCTATTTTCCTTGACTCTTTCACAAAAATAGTTTTATGAGGTTCTAGACTTTCTTTGGGTTTGTAACCAAGTTCAGCTTTGCTAGAATTTCCTCTTTGATAACCTAATATCGAATCAAGATTTTCAGAAGATTTTGAAAAATTGCTTATTATTTTCTCTAACTTGAAAATCTCATTTTCCAAAAGATTACAATTTTCACAAGATTTAACAACTTCTTTATTTTTAGACAAAGTTTTAGATTTCTCAACATCTTTCTTTAAGCACTCATTTTCTTTTTCAAGAATACCAACAGTATTTTCTAA